GCTGAAAGAGCCAGAATTAAAGGCTGATGGAGCAACTGGACGGAGGGTACACTTCAAGAAATATATAAACAAATTCAGGAGAGAATGATCAGAACAAAAAAAATAGATAAGTGAGAAAGAAGAAAAGTCTCAAGGATGTGGAAAAGGGCATCTTTCAAAAAAAGCAGATTCCGATAGCAACGATGAACAAGAATAACAGGTCGCTGTCACATGCAACATGAATGCCACCTACACGAGGTTCTACAACAACCTCTACTCATCGAAAGAACAAGTAAACGAACAGCTGATGCATTTTGTCCCAGAATCCGCTCCCGATATCACCCGGGACGAAGTAGAGTAGACAATCAAGAATATGAAAAGCGACGGATGTCCTGGCATGGACGGCAAAAGGCGGAACACCAGTCACCAGAAACGACCCTGCTCAAAGCCCTCGCCGAAAGATTTATAGAGTATATCAGGCTGAAGAATGTGTCAGAAGCATTGAAACGCTCTTCGATGATTCTTGTACTAATTAAACGTGATGATGAACACGTCCAAAACTATCCATCAATTACTCACTCTGTCACAAGTTTACGAGGTCTTTACCTGAATCATCCTCAGCCGTACCCGGAAAGATCTGGAATTGTTCGCTAGTAAAGAAGAAGGTTCTCAGCAACAGACCTCACCCACGTAGTGAAGCAAATAACACAAATGTGCAAAGAATACAAATACACCCTCTAGTACGCATTCATCGACTTCAGAAAAGCCTTTGAGTGCAACATTCGAAAAGCGCTATACTGAACGGGTCACCGGTTGCGGTATAACCCCGTCAACGTCGATCTGATCGAAGAACTGAATACTGACAATGCAACCTGCACCAAACTGTTTGAGGAATCGTGTCAAACTAACATTAAGCGAAGAGTACGTCAAGGAGCCACCATCTTCCCTCTCCTAAACTTTTGGCGAAGATGCTGGAACCCCTCATGAACCGTCTGAACTAGAACGGTGTTACTAACATCGACGGAGAATTGGCTCAACCATACGCTCTTAGCACACTACGTCATTATTTTTGCGAAAGAACGCGGTGGAACTCGAAACAAAGACCTGCAGTGGCAGGATTCATCCGCCATCGGTCTAAAGATGAACATCCATAAAACAGAACAGGCGCGCAACCAGCACTGCCCCCCCTCCCCCCAACCACGAATACCACCTTCGCTGACGGCGAAGAAGTGGAAAAAGTAGCCAGCAACATATACCTTGGACAAGTAATAGACTGAAATAACAACATCAATACGGCGAGAACAGTCGAAGAAAGGCAACATAAGCAAATTTCAATCACATCAAAGCACTGCTGCTGGAAAACAAACTGCCAATATCAACGAAGAAAGATCTATTCGACTCGCTGTCCTATCTTTCGTTACTTATGGAACGCAATGCTAGTCTACCAACATGGATGAGGAAAAGAAATTAGTAGTAACTCAAAGAGCAATGGAAAGAAGAGTAAAGAAGGTCTCCCTTTGAAACCATGTTCCAAGTGCGATAGTACGGTGTCAGACAACTTTTGGATGTACTCACTGCCACCTGCAACTCTGCCGAAGAGATGTATGGCTGAATATGTGGCTCTTCCGAAGGGCAACAGGTGGATAATGCTGAAGGCGTTTGGTTAACGGCGAAAGCAAATTGCGCAACATCAAAAAGAGTGACGGAACGTCGATTGGCGTCTGCGGCGAAACCACTGTTGAAATCAAGTAGGACAGAAGGATAGATAGACTGAAAACAGCATAAAAGAGGGTTTATTTGTACGCAACGCAAGCAAGAAAGCCAGGTCTTCTGGCTCTAAAAGTTAGATCAGCGCGAACCACAGAAAGAACTTCTGAAATCACGCCCCCACTTTGAAGAATTCTGATGATAGACGGTCCGAAACAAGTACAGGTCAATGATTCTTACTGTTGACGTTGTGTATAAATAATTCGTGTTCTACGCTGTTTTCAGTATGACTACCAGTTCAAGAACAATGTATGCGATCATCGGATAGATGAATAACCTGTGACGTGTTCTGCGTGATTCAGTAGCCTGAGCATGTTTTGTACGCTCAACTCAGAGATCGTACCTCAGTGCCGCGGACCAAATCTTGCAACGCTAATGTTAGCTGAGCGTTTGTCTTACCGCTTCGTAACAGTTTTCGGTGATGCTCGAGTAGTAATGGATGCTAGTATCGGACATGCTGAGGTTACGAGGAACACTGGCATGTTGCTGTAACCGTCGCTGAACCGACTCCAGCGGCTCCCTGACTGACAAATAACGGTAGCTAGGCGCACTGCGTCCAACAGAGTCAGCGTCGTATTCCGCGTTCGCGTGGTTCAAAATAGGCCTGGTGTCGCTGTAACGATTAGTGGTCAACGATGACACGCCACCACAGGTGCCGCTAGTGGTCAACCGACTTCGACTTGGTGCGCAAAAAGGCGTCAGCAAAGCATCACTGCCGGAGACGACGTCCGGTGCTTCATCTTTGAACTTGTTGATTACTGCGTACTGGTAGTCAGAATCGCTGTTACCCATGCTAAAACGGCGACGCGTCTGATGGCCGTCTGTGTCACGGTTGCAGCCGCCGCAACCTGTCTTTGGCAAAATCGAGTACAAAGCGTCTCTTCTGAGAACGACTGGAAATTCAGACGACACCTTAGGTACCGGACCAGTGCCAGAACAACCAGAGTAGCCATGTAGAGAATTACTGAACGCTCTCCGCAGTTCTCTGAACTGTGGATAGTCGTACTGAAAATTGGCCAAGTATGTCTCTTTAGGTAGAGTGCTGCTTCCTGAAACGTTTTGACTAGCTGACGGAACAGTAATGCTGTCGTTATAATCCCACTTGATATTGTCATACAGTTCCTGCGGCTGAATGAGGGAATACAGTGGTTCAAACGAAGAAGTACCACCTGCCTGGGTGCCTTCAATTTGACAGTAAAGGGGATTACAATCTGCCTGCTTTTTCTTGACGTAATCATCTTCAAGATCAGGCGATTCACCTTTCGCCTTTTCCATTGTAGCGTAAATTTCTGAAACAGTCGAATCTGGTACTTCTTTAGATCCGGTTTCCGGATCACAAGGAAGTTCTGGTAGTGCACGTCGAGATCCCGCGCATAAATTCTTGGTCAGTTCATCCAGGGCTTTCGAATTTTTACCTGACAGCGCGTTTGGCGACATGTTCTCCTGAAACGAAGCGGTTGTATCAGAATGTAGACATAGTAGACCTTGCATAATGTCATAAACAATGCAAATTTACAAATCAGAAATTCTATACAGCGGTTCGTTAGTTACAGAAACGACGATTTCAAGTCGTAATATTGAAAGTTACAGTTAACATATAAAACAACTAAATACATGTCAAGTTCAAAAGTTTACCTGTATTTGTTTAGCGAAATAGCGAAACTAAAACTCTGATC